TTTCATTGAGCAGCACACTGACACACAAATGCTAATTTTTTAATGGCCATTGAATTTCGAGAGTAAGTACATGGTACATGGGCACTTTTGCTTTTCTTATACAGATAACCACAGCTTTAGATCAGCCACAACACGCATACCGTAAATCTCGACAGTCGGAGAAGAGGAGCACAGTTACAAAAGTGTTTCACCGCTATTTCTAGAGCGCCACGGCGCCAATCACATACGTACACGACGGGAGACAGCTGCGGACTACACAACAAAAAAGCCCAGCTCCAACTTTTTCAAGTCGTTTCGTTTAATTCACTTGCACTCGCACACACACACTGTCGTAAAGGGGGGAAACAGGGTATAACTATTTATGGTAAGGTCATTCCGCTCTAGCTACAGCTACAATACATAAGCTTCCAAAGCAAGGCTACTAAAAGAGGCCGCCCTACCTTATAACGTTATACCATGGGGGGGGAGAGCAACAGAGAGCGCCAGAGAAATAAACAATTGTTCAGATGAGATACTGGGAGAGAAACAGTGAAGAGATGAGTGATTGTTTTTTTGTGGTTTTAATGGTTTTAAGTAAATAGTTTTAAGCAAATTTCCAGTTAAATAACGACATCAGGTCTCTTGCTCTCTACGTCTCTCTTCCACCCACTCACTGATCGGGCGCTCTCTCTTCGCTCTATCTCTCTCTCATGACCTGCCTTTCGTTAATGACTCTGCAGAAAATGACGCGTAAGACAAACAAACATTTAGTTTTTTGTTGGCACAAAATCCCAGGGAAATTTAGCTTTTGAGCGCGGATTTAGTTGCTGGTAATCGCACACTTACTTTAGTTACTTGTTAAACAATTTTCGCTAGTTTCACTCGTTTAAAAATCTGGAAATCGTTGGTTTCGTTATGGTTGCCTTGTCCGTTGATTGAAGAAATTAGTGCAATTGATGCGGTGATGATGGTACTTGGCGGACGGCACAGATTTTTTTATAGTTACACGCGACGGACGCGCACGGCAAAGGCACCACGGCGAGGACAAGGATTCTGCGGGGATGCTGGAAAGGTGGCTGGCACGAAGGTGCGGCGACGCAAGCGGCTTGTCGTCTCTTTGTAATGCAAAAAAAACCGTTTAGTTTTTGCGCGCGCTCTCTAGTCGCTGTCCCTCTCCTCTCATTTTTTTCTATTAGCGAACGAACTGCGCAAATTTACGATAACAGCAGCCGCAGCAGCAACAGCAACAACCACCTCTACTACAACAACAATGCGATGTGGAATATCCTCAGCACCTTCACGGTCCGCTGGTTTGTTTTCGATCGCGCCGTCTGCCAAGACTGCGGGACTGGATTTGACCAAAATACTACGGGGCTCTTTCGCTTTGCACCGCCATGGCGCGCCAGGGCTGCAAAGCGCTGGCTCTCCTCGGGCACAAAAGACTTGAATGCAGTTTACCACCCAGAGACGACTAGAGAACCCAGATCCGAAGTAGTAGTTGCTTTTACTATGAGAGCGGAGCGACTTACACCAGCCCTGGTGGGCAATGTAAAACTAGTTATTGAGCCAGAGCATCGGCTAGCGGTTTCCTCAAATGCTCTACAGCGGATCCATTCGCTGAAGAAGATGGACCATGAAGGATGCTTACATGAGGTATGTTTCCATATTGTAATTTATTTAATATGATTTCGCGGGAGGAAAATTTAAAAACTAAAGATCAAAGAGCAACTCCAATTCAAAGATGTGTATTCTCTCACATGCCCACCTGTTTCCAGCGTAGGAGATTAAGCGTAGTTTTCTCTTTTGTGGTCGGAGCTGCGGACTCACTCGCGCACACACACACAGGCACAGATTGGAGCAAACATATGTCCGCATCGGTGTGTGTGTAAGTGTGGGTATTTCTGCTTGTTTACCTGTTGCTGCTTGTGGAATTGTTTTTACATTTGGCCAGAAAAATGTTTTCCTTCCACAATTACGAGAACCCATATGGACCCAACTCCAGATTCTCTATTAAAATGGTTTCGACAAATTAATATTGCACCGACAGGTGGGCACAAAATAAGGAATGCACACAAACAAACAGAAATGGCAGTTTACATTTGTATTTACGTGTACAATATGTATGTGTATGTAACTTTAGCTTGACGCAAAGACAAAGACCAGGCTCAAAGACAATATTGTCGTTGTTATTGCTGCTGCTGGCAGCCGCAAAATAAGAAGAAGCAACAAAATAACAAGATAGTAAATATAGCTGTGGCGGCCGAAGCTTTCGATACCCTTCCAGATCGATCTCGCTTATATGGTATAACCGTACGACTTGGACTGACGTTTGGTTGGAATATCTACCCGCTGTGTTGATGCTGAGCAATCATGGAAAGCACCCGCTCCTGCAAGGGTATACAAATATTTATTTTCGTGAGACGTAATTTCTGGTGCTGTTTGGTCGGTTGGAATTGCAATGGAACTGGTTTCCTCAGTCAACCGTATAATGTACGACGAAGATTTTGATTATTTGTTAGCCATATAGTTTACTATCGCTGTAGCTTTTTGTTGTCGCTGCTCTTGCTATTGTTTTGTTGCATGCCGTGCATTTTTCCAGCACACATTTTTCCATTTCTACATTTTGCCACATTTTGACTGCTGTTGGGTTAAGGCTCCCCCAAAAACCGGCTCCATATGTAAGAGTGTGCGTGCTTGTGTGGCTGTGTGTGTGCCAACGGCATCCAACTGCACTCGCTGGCGGAGTACGGAGCAATGCAATGGAGCTGAGAGCCAAGCACGGTGGAACGGGTATTTTTTCAGAAAGGAAATGTAGCCAAAAAATATGGTTTGGGCAATGTCAACAATTTCTGACAAGAGATCTAAAGAAAAGGTACTCCATGTTGGTTCTAGCAAATGATCTTCACCTGCTTGACTTCTCTCCCACTGTGCGCTCTCCTGGTTTTACAAGGCCTGTGTCTTATCGCTTCCATCTACATACCTGCGATTTTTGCACTGATTCACACACTCTCTCATTCTACTCTCTTGCAGTCTCTCTCTCTAACTCTTTTACTCTCAAGCTGCACGCATTTAAAAAAAAAAAAGAAGTACACATTACACACATACAAATATTGGCCATTTACAGTTAGAGGCCGCTCTCTGTGATGTGGCTGCTGCAGCTACCGATTTTATTGGCATTTTTTCTCTCGCTGCAGTTTTATTACAAGTTGCTTTTCCGCCGGCCAAAATAAAAACCTGCATTTTGTTTTCATTGAGTTATTTCCTAACTCTGTTCCCACAGTTCACAAGGTGACGCAGATCCTGATCATGTGGGGGCGTCCATCTCCCATACAGTACACCAAACGCCCCCTGAAAAGAACGTGAGATTATTGGTACATATAATTAATATACATATGCAATTGCATTTTGATTGAGGTATTTTTATAATCATTATCTTGGCCCGCCGTCGCCAAGGGGGCGTTGACAGCGTCGCGGCCCTCTCCGTAGGGGGGAATCGATGGACTGGAGGGGACACACTCGGGCTTTTGTTTCAAATCAAGTTTCGTCGCGCATGACTTTATATCTGCTTCGTTTTCATCATCGTCTCTGTGTTTTCGTCTTTGGCGACGAGTTCAAAGGCCCAATTAACCAAATAAATGCATAAAACCAGAAAAAGTCATTGCAGTCCGTCTTGAAGCGGGGTGTGGTGGGGTGGTGCTAATACCCGGTACTTGCGGTATACAAGGGTATGCATATGTACAATGTACATACATATGTATGTATTTGTGCAAACATAACTCTTCGGAGTATAAAAGAGATAGAAAGAAATTTCCATCGAGTCTACATTACAAAAGTTTATTTCTCTATTTTAGGGGGTATGCAACAGTCGAGTACTGATTATATACAGATCATTTTATTTTTGTGGCAAAATGTCATTAAATGGTATTGTAAATATTTGTGTGCAGCGATCAAATGGCAGCCGAAAGCCAGTTACCAGCAATTCTTTCGGGCCTGGCTGGTAGAAACGTGCTGGTATTTTTCAATACCGACGCAATCATTGAAATTGTGAGCTTGAAGCCTGCCGCCTGCCTGCCTGACTGGCTTGGGTGGAGGGGAGTGGCAGATACAAAAAGCCCAGTCTCATCAGCTTTACGTGCCGATGCTCGAGCGGAGGGGCAGTCACGTTTTCGATTCACGCTTAATTCCAAATGCACGGCTCTTATCATACGGAAAACGAGTGAGACGAGAGGCACCCTGTGCTGCAAAACGATCTCTTGGGGGCGCATTAGCATTGCTTTAGCATTATCAGTACCCACCACCCTGAACGCCCCTTACTCACACATGTAAACACATACGTACATATGTACATACATATGGGCACATCACATTTCGAGTAATTCAATTATTTTGTATATTATTTTCAATGTGCAACAAAAGCGACAACAACGACACATAGATAGCCAGCCTGGAACACTGGCACCGACTGGCACTGGCAATTACACTAGTCAACAGCCGGAAAAAAACGTTAAAAACAGACCCACTTTATCTGATTGACTTGGGGCTCCAAAAATATTTATTCAATGTTAATTTTTGTTAATGGTACGATTTTAAAATCAATTTAATTTGAATGAAAAATTTGATTTGATGCTAGCATAAAAAGTCTGATTTTGTTAGCAAGTGTAATTCTGCTTCGTCGCCGCCCGCCCATTGAAAGAGTGGGATGGCGAAACTTCCGCTTTGCGGTGGAGCAACGGACAAGGGAAGGTTGTAGAGAAAAGTGCGGCGAAAGTTTATAATCTAAGTATCAAGAAAGTTGTTTTATGTTTTTTCCAGAATAAAAGCAAAAATATTTACGAAAGATCTTCAAAATAAACAAAAAAAAGACAGAAAAGTTAAAATTCAAACAGAAAAAATTTCAAATTACGCAATTATGGCGCCACAATGATTGAACTGGGTGGCAACACACACCCAACAGCTGTTGGATTAATCGATTAGTTTTAGTGCTGTGAAGTGGAAGCCCTGCTATATTGTACAGCACTGGTTTTGGAGTAACCAAATATTTTCGCTATAGTTTTTTTTTAATAATTTCGTGTGTGAAAAAGGAATAATATTGATTTTTTATTGCATTTAATGCATCTGCAGACTGGGCGATCTCACAACCCCCATAAAACGTGCACACCCCCCGTAGCAAGACGAAAAGTCGTGGAAAAGTTTTGTTTACCTTTTTTCGATATCTATCTATCCCAGAGTTCTGCCCCCACACCTGTGTTGGTGTCAACGCGTGCGAGTGTGCGTGCGTGCAAGTGTTGTGTGTGCAAAAATGCATCCGAAAATCGAATAGATGTCCCGCAGCAAGGTTTATGCTTTCATTATAAAATTGTGAAAAAGCCAGGCACATGGAAAATGTGCCCGATGCCAGCTGCAGCGCCTCTTCCCTGAAACTCCAACGGCAGCAAAGTAAGTGACAATAGGACCCTGCACCCCGGACAGACCACCATTCGCCACATTGTGCGCCACAATCTGCGTTTTCATTTTTTTTTTTGCCGACCTGATAACCGTTTAGTGTGCTTCGATTACGCTGCTAACGTATTGGTTTTCCAATTAGTTTTGTTTTACTTTGCTTTGCTTAGTCGGTGAAGCGGGCGAGGGGAAGGTTTAGGTCGGGCGCTTTAACCCATTGGTGGCAGGTGGTTCGCATTTCGCTTTTGTTTTCATTCGTACAGAATGTATGTCATGACGAGGGGGACATTTGACCAGAGGTTATTTTTAAATCAGAATAAAACTCTAGATTGAAAATGTGTGCATTATTTGCAAACATTCCTTTACTCTTTTGACAAATTCCTTTGGTTCAAATCAGCTGTTTTGGTCTTGCACGGTCTGGCAACCTTTTGGCATTGGAAAATTACGATGCGAATTTCGACCGTTAAATGTACATACAGCTGCAATCAATTAACTTCGTTATTTATAAGTTGATAACACCCATTCGAAAACAAGAACTAAATATAGTGGAGAGATTGCGATAATAACCAGACACTGAATCACTGACACAGCTGAGATCTAGATCAAACATTGGGGAGGAGGCTACACATCAAATATAATAATCTTTCTGGCTTCCATACCCACCTCCGTCTATGGCCAGACGGCACACTGTCATTTTCTTTTTCTTAACCTCTTTGCTGTTGGCAATCTGTGGGCAAACATCTATTGACATATTTATCGAACTCCTTCCCAAAATGTTGTCTGCCAGATCTAACGCTCTTTTGATTTATGCTTCTAATAAAAATTCAATAGACTTGCAATTTGTCGTGTTGCGCCGCAACCCAACCACTCAAGGCACATTGGCACAGACTGCACACATATTAAGTTGAAAATGTTAACGATTCCAAAACAAAAGTTAGAGCTGCCCACTTTTGGGGCCTTCACGTACCACTGTGCGAGTACGCGAGTACGCGAGAGGGCCCATCAAAAGCCGCGACGAACGCAAAAATATGCGAAACTTCAGCACAACGGAAAAGTGTTTTATGTGTTACGCGGACTCTGGTCTCGGGCACCATCCTCTGGCTCGCTCCACTAGTTGTTAGTGTGGTGGTTCGTATTGGGTTGGTCTATGGTCTATGCTGTATGGTCCCTGCCATACATTACAATGAAGTATGTGCGCCTGGATGAATGGGCCAAGCGGCGGCCACTACTCCTGGGTTCCGGGTTCGGGTCTGGGTCTGCCACTGCCACTGACTCTGGCGACCTTTCTACACAGCCATAGAGACGCAAGGGAGAGAGAGAGGGGAGAACAGGATGGCAGGAGACAGACACTCGTCCACTTGGGTCAGATGGTGGGTCACATGTGTGTGTGTGTGGCACCCAAGTGGGAGGGAGGGAGGCATGAACAGCAGCTGAAGGCGGCTAATTATGACCCGCACGTTTTTGTCGAAAACAAACAGTCACAGTGGGTTAAGAGTGGGAGGGGGGATATGGTGTGCCGGACACGGGCATAAAGGCCGGACAAGTGTTTAGGCTACATTTTCAAATGTTTCCGGCGCGCACTTTACGTTTCGTGTCTGTTGTCGCCTTTCAGCCTTGAGGAGAGTCTATATTTGGCAACGCATGTAAGCCCTCTGCCCCATCCACCCTGCACCCCTCTCAGTGGCAGCCCCGCCATTACTCTGTTTTGTTTGTTTGTTTGTTGCACTTTTATTGCGTTTTGGCTGGGGCCCGGGCGCTGCCTGCCTGCCTGACTGCCTGCCTGTGCTAAGTAGTCCTCTTACGTAGTCGCAAGTCCTTCGTACCAGCCATAAACATGTCGTCTTTCGCTTGATTTAGCGCCAGTTGCACCACCCCACACCCTACCTCATTGTTGGCCAACAAAATGGTTTGTGTGTGTGTGTGTGTGTGTGTGTGTGTGTCTAAGCCACTGACCGCTCAACATTTGCCAGGACTCGACTGGCCCTGGGAAAGTGCAACAATGGCCAACTCTTGGCCACGCCGCCTGTCGTCCGTCATATTTGGGGGCTCTCGGCACCCCATGCTCCCCACGCTCCCGCATGTTTCGCATGTCGATTTCTAATGCCATATTTCTTCAGTTTTCGATCCCCCAAACCGATCCCTTTGACTGGCGAGTCATAAATCTTGTTTGCGGCTATGAAGTTTCAGTTTCCATTGAATCTGCATACAATGGAGCCACATCCGGGAGGGGGGCTTGTCAGCTTTTGGGGTCAGCGACTACCACTGGACAGCAGAAAATTACAGCCAGCCGAAAATCGCATTTTAAGCTTTTGTTTCTTCTGCTTTCAGCTCAAATCAAAGCCAAAAATGTCCTAATCAGATCACAGAGCAGCAGCGGCAAGCTAAGCAGAAATGAGGCTGAAACCACAACAACAACAACAGCAGCAGCAGCAGGAACAGCAACCACAAAAAAAGCCACCACGAGGACTCTCAAGATCGGGGCCATGCAACAGAAGCAGCTGCAGCCACCAAATGGAGTCAACACCAGCAACATCATCCTGCTGCGGGGCACGCGCAATGAGAACGGCCAGATCATTATCCAGAACAAACAGGACATTCTCACACTGCTCAACGAGCAGCAGCAGCAGCAGCAGGAGAAGGCCGCCCAGGCATCCACAGCCATTACACTCAATCAATTGCCAACGACCACCACAGTGGCTCGCAAGACGATTGTACAGAGCTCGGGCAGCACCACCAGCACCAGCTCCACCATATCCATTGTAGCCAGCAGCAGCAGCAGCAGCGGCGGCTGTGGTGGCAAGGATACCGTCAGCAACACGATCCTGCTGCAGACGCCCATCAATGCCAGTCAGCTGGAGAGCGTGCTGAAGGCCCAGGAGCGGACGAAGCAGGTGAACGGCAACCAGACCAAGCTCATAGAGAGGCCCTTCCTGCTGAAGCATGTAAGTAGAGATCACTTTGCACGCAGTGTTAAGATCTGTGACACTCATTGACTTTGACTTTACCTTCCCCCCACTGCGTAGGCCACGCGGAGCCTCAGCTCGGAGAGCAACTGCGACAGCAAATCACCGTTCGTGCTGCAGACGCTCAAGCGACTGGAGAAATCGCAATCCATTCTGGTCATACGCAACTCCACATCGGGCAGCACTTCCTCCATGGCCGTTTCACCGCCTGTGAATGTTGCGGCCTCCACAGCAACGAATGTTTTGAGTGTGACACGCACTTCGAAGGCCGCCAAGGGCATGGCTGGAGCGCTGCAAAAGCTCAAGGCGGCAGCAGCAGCGGGTGCAGGAGCAGGAGCAGCACCGACAACATCAACGACAGGCACAACCATACTGAGGCTAGGCAAAAGTGCCAACACATTGGCCATTAACGGTGCTGGGGGCAGCAAGCTGGAGGCCGCAGCAACAACCACAACGTCAACAGCAAATAAATTGTCCAGCACGGTGACATCGGAGCAGCAGCAGCAGCAGCAGCAACAATCGACAACAACGCAAACGAATGTGCCACTTGGGAACGGTAAGTCTCTGGGATTTGCCAAGCGTTTCCTCAATGAATTTCAAATGCGGTGCATAAATTTGTTAGGGAGGATGTCCAGTAGGTGTGGCCAGGGTCAGAGATGCAGGTGCAGGTGCAGGTGCATTTGCATCCCAGGCCCTGCAAAGCGAAATCCTGACGCAGTCTCTTTTGGGAAGATATCCACGCTTTTGTTTGGACAAAAATTCAAGCAGGCCATTCCTTAGTGGCCTGCGATATTTCGTGTGGGTTTAAAGGGTCCGGCGAAAATTTCGCTGATTCGCTCGCTCTCCGCCGTACGTGGCATGCCTAACAATTATTCAATTAAATCGTGAAACGTCTTCAGCGACCCTCAGGGCCGGACTGCACTCAGCTGTGAATGGGCGATGCTCATTGCCCATTGATTTTCACACCCGTCATCAGCTCTCCAGCTCTAGCCCCAACAGACAGAATGATTTTCAGGGGTTTTCCCCCGAGTTTGTTTCGTTTCTGGCCAGGGCAAAACAAACATCGAACAACAAATTCCCCATTCCCCACTCTCCCTGCCTGCTGTCCAGTGTTCATTAGCGATGTGTGCGCTGAGTAACAAGTTACAAGCAAGTTTCGCAAGCATCCTCCTGGTCAGCGTGTGGAGGAGGGGGGGAAGGGCTTCACTGAAAAATACATACATATATCCAAGAAGGAACAAATCAATTCGCTTGAGCGTAAAGTGCTTAAGACCCTCTCAATGACTGCCAACTTGGTAGCAATTGAAAGTTTCTTTTTTGGCTTAACTTTAGAAATTAAGAAATTGTTATTTGTACAAATTTGTTTTTCTCTTTTGTTTGTTCATTCTGATCGGCGCCTCTGTGGTATGCTGTCTATCGATTGCTTTGTTGTGACAATCGATCTGTACATCGATCTGTTATTGCATCCGTGGCTAGGATAATCTATTTTAATGGCTCCTGAATTCACATCCTAGCTAGCATCAGCCTTCCGCTGGCCCTGCCCACGCATTTTGGCAGCGCCTAACAAATGCTCAGAGCGATTCTTCTTCGTAAAGAGATCCCCTGCGCCGATTAGCCAAGTGACAACTTGACAACGCCAGCCAGCCAGCCAGCCAGCCAGCTAGCCAGCCATCGCCTGGGGGCCATTGAGCAAATGTGCTGATGTCCACAGAAATCCAGTAGTTGGCCCGGCTTGAGGAGGAGTAGCAGAAGTTTGATTATTGCACTCGATACATGAGTGTCCGCCATTTGTGCTGACGGGGTTCGAATACACAGAAGTAGCACCAGAAGCAGCCAAAACGAAGAAGTGGCCAAGTGGCGTAAGTGATTTTTAAACCAGATTCAAGGCGTCAGAGTCTCTTGCCCTCTGTGTGTGGGGGTGTTGGATTTGTCGTCGTCGTCATATTGCAAAGCTCAAGTATTGCTGATGTTTCAATTGCACGAGAGACCCCCAGACGGGGGTATCCCCAATCTCCCCACTCTCTATCTTCCTCCGCTCTCACATATGTACATATGTGGTATGTTGAATGCAGACATTTGAAAGATCCTTATCTGATTTGCCCGTTAAACAAATCCAAAAGCAAAGCACACAAAAAATCTAAAGGGAAGGAGAGAGGGAAGGAAAACTCTGGCCCCGCTAGCATTTTATTGATAAAACTTTTGCCAGCTCTGAATTTAAAATATTTTAATTTAGTTTGGCTTTAGTTTTTCGCTATATCATGGCCATTAGCTAAAAGGCGGCCAACCTTCAAAAAAAAAAAATATATACAAAAAGAAAATTTAAAAAAAAAGCCACGAAATTTGCCTTTAGGTGAGTTATTCTCTATCACTATAATGTTTTTTTGATTTCTTTTTGAAAGGAAAGAAAATTAAACAAATTACCCCCCACATAGACACACACACACACATACACATGGGTGGGATCTGTGAGATACTTTTGCATGCAAGTCCCGTCCGTCATGTGTTGAGTCCAAATCGCTTGAGGGAAACAACAACTCGACTTAAGGATACCAATTGATGCAGATTGCAATGGTTTATAGTGTGGAGAAATTGTATAATTTTTTATGAGAAAAGTTTCTGTTAAAAATCGTAAAGTACACGTAAACAGTTATGTTGTGAAATGTGGCAGATCGGTAGATAATTTATGTTGTAAAATGTGGCAGATCGGTAGATAATGGGCGTAGTAAAAGAGCCACTAAGAACAGAGCCTTTGCTCCTGCTCATACTGGCAAGGGTAATAAAAGTAATAAATCTGCAATAGCTAGCTAGTTTCCTTTAGATTAATCCCAGAAGATCGTATATTAATAACAGGATAGCATAGAATGAAATAAAATTCTGGAAAGAGGAGAAATTTGGAAATCCACAGATGCTTCTCTATAACTTAACCTTCTTTACAAATCCAATCTAGTGTGTACTACCCTTCCATTCCACGTTCTACTGGGTAAAACAACGCAAAAAAAAATAAACTGTATAAAAAGCCGTTACAATTTGTTCACTTCTTTTTGTGCACTTTTCTTCGAAAATCCTTTCGGTCCCGGGCCCGGACCAGAGCCCCAAGCCCAAGCCCATGCCATGTGCCTTGTGTGCTTCATTATCATTATTTGGCCTGCACCTCTGCACCTCTGCTCCGCTTCTATCTCTCACTCCCTTTGGCTATCTCTCTTTCTCCATCTGGCTCCACCTTCTCCACTGTCTCTCCCTCTATCTGCTGCGCGTCTATCTCTTTCCTTGAGCACATAATTGCCAAGAGAAATAAAAAAGTTTGCGCTTTGTTTTGCACAAAACTTTTGCATTTCCGTTGTTATGAAACTTGAGCGCGCGTCCAAAGCGTATATAAAAAGAGAAGCCAACAGAAAAAAAGCAAGTGATTGCAAGAGAGTGAGTAAAAAAAAAAACGTGTACAAAAAGTGGCAAAAATAAATCTTTTCGTGTGAGTTAAATTGCAAAATATGATGGCCGGCGCCTGGCACCACTTCACACACACACACACAGCCATGATAGAAGGGATGGAAGGGTGGAGGTAGTTGGTCCTGTAGGTGGCTAATTAGATAACACTGTGCCTAATTTGACGCTGCCACGCCTACTGCAATACTGCCTTTCTTTTCGCTTGTTTTCAACTTTGCCAGAACACGCCCATGCCCACTCCCACTCCCACTCCCACTTTTCGTTTGATTATTGTGTCAAAGTTCTGTGTGTCTGCCTGTGTGTGCTTTTATTTCTTTTGTTTCCCCCTTCAGTTTTAGGCCGTATTTGCCATGGCCCTGATTTGCTTTGGACATTTGTGCCGCACAAAGATCATTTTTCACTGGTTTTATCACTCTAATCACACATCATATAATGTCTAATTTGTGTGCATAATTGTCACTTTAGAGCGTGTCAGCATTAGTTAGGGGGCATCAGTTTCATCCAGCACACATACGGAGCAGATAATAATGTTGGCTTGCAATCACCAGATTTGCTTTACAATTTAAAGATCAACGATTGTCCGCTGAACCTATTGGATTTGGATTATTGCAGAAATTAGGAATTTAGAATATAGAAACATGTTCAAATGGTATTATATTGAATGATGGCATGCCAAACTTGACGTTGGGACAACGATTATATCTTCAAGATAAATTGATTAAACTGTGGTACGTGTGGAATTCATAGCTGCCTCAATGCTAGAGAAATAGATTAAAAAAATCGTATACCCATTCAGGGTTAATTCTTTAAAATTGTAAGAAATAAATTGAGTTTTCTAATGATTTTTGAATGCTCCTAAATGTAATTTATTTGTTCATGAAGTTCTTTCATTTAGTACTCTCTGTAGTTAAGGTACTCCAATGAGCCATTAATTGTGTACTTTAGAATCCTTTTGTAATACACACTGAACTGAGCAGCATACTCGCCGTTCTCGATGGGAAAACGAGTGCGAAGTTTATTCACATCACTCACAAAGTTCATGATCTCCACCGTGCTATTTTCCTAATAGAAAATAAAATACTGAAACCATATCAGAAATGATGAGTATATGTGCATGTACAGGCTACTCACACGGAAGGGACACTTCATGGGGCTTTTCAGATAAGGATTGATATAGTAAAAGGCCAAGCTAAAGAGCATGCCGTTGGGGCTGTTCTTATTCTTTACGCTGTCAAAGAATTCGCATACATTCAGAGTGATGTTATATAGAAAAGGACGCCAGCCATTGGCTCGCTTGAAAAGCTCCAGCCGAATCTGAGGGAAGAGCAAAGCAAACGCATGTCGTTGCCGTTATTTCTTTTCTCAATAATCTCACCATTAGCTGACTTCCCGCTGTTTTTTTAATGCGATACCCAATGTTAATCGAGTTCTGTTTCCGATTGATGGCCTTTATTTTGCACATAAAAAACTCATTGTCCTTATCGAAGGTAACACAATTGAGGGTCTTGAACTTGGCCTCCACCTGGAGGGAGCCCAGCACAAATATTCCGAGGATCAGTGCGACAAACATGTCATTTGAACGGACAATTTCAAACTGAAGAAGACTCTGACTACGCTTTTAAGCGCATATTACGGCTGTGTGAATAGCCATGACAGTACACATGGGTACGCCGTTTAATTGACATTATTAGAATATTGAAAAAGGTTTAAGCGGTTTAAAGGTTTACTGCAGCCCAAAAGGCAGTGTTAAGGCAAGTCAAAGGGTTCACATTTTGTGGGAAAACTCTTCAATGACTTCGGGATGGGTTCAAGAAAATATATTCGAAAAATGTTAATCGATGATGTCATGCCTTATCAATTTTCTCTAGCAATGTATACTTAAACTGTCCACTCAACCGAAACTGCATTAAATAATTTTTTTTGTTTATCTGTGGTATATGGAATATGAGAATTGTTTGCCATATTTACTCAATTGAATCGGTTTTAACTGCTCAATAGATCCGTTTTTTAAATGTTTCAATCTTGTGTTTCCAGTTACACGTCGGGTGTTCATTTGTGCTACTAATGTAATGTAAAGTTTCTACATTGATTTACAAAATACTCAAAGTATTAAATGTTTAAATTTTAGACAACAAAAAACTCTCCTTTAATATAGCCAACTTTTCCCAATAGAATTTTGACATCAATAACCCAAATATTTGCCTGATATGAATTTCCTAATGAAATATATAGTTATTATATAAAATATATTTAATTATTTAGCAAATCTCGTGTGTCGCGCACATGTTGCAAGTGCAACCGTGTGCGCGTTGCATAGTTGCACGTTGGCGTTACGCTTCATTTTTGATTAAAAATTCCAGCGGAACTCCTCTGGTATGGAATCCTCCTCATTCTCTGTCTTCGGGCTATGGGGCTTGAAAAGGTGTCCAAAAGGCTTTCCAGGCACGTGCAAATTGTGCGCTCTCCTCTCCTTTCTCTTCCCATTTTTTTCTGCTGTTTGTTATTGTTCTTGTTTTGGGGTAGGACCAAGTGTAGCCGACGAGCCTCGAAAGTTTTAGGCGCTCGTCGTTGGTGGTAGGGTAGGGTAGGGGGGTTGGGGGATAATGATCTATTGCGCAGGTCTCTAACAGTCGGGGCACCAACCCCTAAAATATGTTGTGCAATAGAAATGCCACTGATGTGTGTGTGTGTGTGTGTGTGTGTGTGTGTGTGTGCGTGTAGGTGCTGTTGTCGACCAACCCACACACAGTTGTTGGTCCTCGCAAAACCCATGGAAAGAGAAATTAGGCTAATACCGATAGTTGATGGCCTAAATGTGTGTGATTAAGGAATGTTTATGCCACAGTTGCATTCAAAATAATTGTGGAATGTAGCTATTGGTACTATGATATGATTGCTGCTACAGTTTATGATAATTTCTAATTATTTGCTGGACATTCAAGAGTTAAGGTATCTATCTAAGCACTTTGATTGGAGTTCCGTTGAATCTGCTAGCCGGGAAAAGGAACAGAGAGCTAAGTAAATACATAACTAGAATGATAGAATGGTAAGGATGCTACTATTTTGTCCGCAGCTGTACGATGTACATTCTACATCAAACCAATTGGAGAGAAACAACCCACTCAACTATTGAAACCTCCTACACTATCCCCAGCCCCAGCCCCAGCCCCAGCCCCGGCCCCTTTCCCAGTTCTCTCACAGAGTCACTGCCAAAACAACACCCCCACCCACATCCACACCCACACCCACATCCTTTTCTCATACATATATGTATATCCATCATCTCGGCACAGAAACCATGCTCCATCTCTATCGCTCTCTTGGAGGCGCCAGGGCACAGCCAACCGACGAATCCTGGCGCTCGGCTTGTCCCGTTAGCCGACGGCAGGCAACTCGCGAGCCGAATGGCCTTGTGTGGCGTGCTGGGTTCCGTTATTTCCGTTTCAGCTTTCAGTTCTCAGACCTTGGCCAAGCGCATCGCACGTGGGTCGTCGCCGCTCTCAAACATTTCGCTCTCCGTACGGGGGCTATCATTACGTTACGTGTTACGTATTATCGCGTACTTCCACTACGTGGAGGAGGTCAGAGCGCGTGAGGATGTTCAGCGATAAGCCAATATTTGGCCATCAGCATTAACGTACTCCCTTCGGCCAGAGCTCTGTCGGTGGCCACCGCACGGGCAGGAGCAACAAGGTTCCACATGTCCACTTGGATGATGGTTTCACTCACATCCCTCAATCTTCCAATTTGCCTCAATTTGTTTATGTAATTTGCTTACACTTCGCCTCTGTTTGTTTGTTGATTTATTTGTCGTTGTCGTTGTCGTTTTCGATGTTGTGTCCATGTTAATGTGATTAAATTTAATTGGTGTACTTAAGATCTCTGTCTGGACTCTATAGCTACTATATTCAATATCCTATATATCCATTATATATGTGTATATGTGTGTGTTCTTATGTGCTATGTGCTGTTCATTTATGTAGTGTTTATATTGATGTTGTAGCTAAATAATCATATTGATCCCATTGATGTGACTCTGTTTCTTGCTTGGAAGTTTAAGATTCCGGAGATTAAGATTTTTAGAATTTATGAATTTCCCCATAATTGTGACTCACGGAAATTCTTGTACATTGTTTATGGACACGAGACCAGGGCTTATCTTGGTCTAGTTTTTGTACCCCTGACAATCTGTCAGTTGATAACTCGACGGGACAAATATCGTGCACAGAACCATCTACTTCGAGGCTTGGGCAACCCGTTTGAGGTTGAGCCTTAGTTCAAGGTTCAACAAACAAATGTAATACGAAAACAATATAGAAATAGCTAAACCAAACAATTTAAGTTGAAAATAATAAATATTTAACCATTAGCTGTTGTCCAGGAAATTTTGTGAGTTTTTCAGTGTGTCTAGATTTTATGTTGACACACGACTCGACACTGGAGACTGGAGATTCGTGATTCGAGATTCGAGATGGGGATATGGGGTAGGAAGGTAGATTGAGATGTCAAGATAAAAAGCGGTCGGACCTTATCAGCGTCACGGAGTGACATTATCAACCCCGAACTAAGCCTAAAATCTACTCCCACCTAATATATACGCCAGGAAAATTTATTCTTATTCAACTTACAAATTTAACGTACAAAAATTGTAGAATAATCTTGAAGAGGGTCTCGGACACTTAGTCAACCCTCGGATTCGCAAGCGAAAAGACCCTCAAAGCGCCAGCCAAAAAAAATAAAGAACAGTAAGCCATAAATGAAAGAGATTCGGATAACGAATCTGCGTGTGAGAATTCAGTGTGAATTGAATAATCAGTGTGCGAACAGTGAACAATAAATTGGAGAGTCTTGAGGATCGTTCGAGATACCCCGTAAATCTATGGCCGGTTATCGCTCGTTGCCGCTGGCACCCGTCTCGGCCAGCAGTATGGCGGCAGCGGCCGCCGTTCCGGCCCAAAATGTGGGTCATGCGGGACCCACGATGGCCTATGCCCACCACCAGTCGATGACGGCCATGTCGAATAACGGTATTATCTATCAGTCGGCGGTGCACGCCTCCATACACAGCCTACCGAGCCAGCATCGCTCATCCACCACGCATCATCACATTCTAGCCACGGCCACCGCCACAGCAACGGCCGCAGCAGCAGCAGCGGCAGCCACAGCCGCCGCAGCAATGGTCACCATGCCGGCGGCAGCGGCAGCAGCCGCAGGAGTACCACAGCAACACGGAACCTATGGACACCAGCAACAGCAGCAGCCACACCACCCACAACAACAGCAGCAGCAACAGCATCTTTCCCAGCAATCTCATCAGCAGCAGCAACAGCAACAACAACTGATGGCCCATCAGCAACATTCTGCCCAGCAGCAGCAGCAGCAACAGCAACATCACCATTTACAGCAATCCCATCAACAGCAGCAGCATCAGCAGCAGCAACTCCATCAGCAGCAGCAGCAGCTCTCTGCCGTGCACCACCACCATCATCACCACCACCAACAGCTGTCGCTGCACCAGAACCACTTGTACTTCAGCGGTGCGAGTCTGGGCCACCATCAACACCATCGACAGATCTTCAGTCACCTGCAGAGCGCCCTAATGCCGCTCAGTGTCAGTAAGTATGCCAAGACCTCTGTGCGCGTGCTGGCACCTCCATTGAAAGGCTGACAAAAAGGGAGCTTCAAAAACAAGTTTGTAACGAAAATTATGCCTTTGGTGACTATTCAAATTGGAATGAACAAAAGAGCGAGAGCGAGAGATTACTTTTAGATCTGATTGTTAAGATGGAATACAAAAAAAAGAGTTTGCTTCACCAATTTGAATAGTCACTGATTTGTTCTGTTTTTTGGTGTCGCATGCTCGTGTCTATAATCATGTCTCATTTGTTACTATGGATGTTGTGCTCTATATACCTTACTCTACATATGTATGAAAATTGATTTATGGGATTAAGCAACGGATAAAGATACAAATATGGGGTTTTAGGGTATCAATCTTACAAAATGAAATCTACATATAAATATTCAACTAGCTTAAGAAACATTGATGTGTGTTTCCGATCTGTTCTTGGTGTCATTGATGTTTTTATGCAATTATTGGTGTCGCATGTTCTATCCATAATCCATAATTTCAATTGCTATTATCGATGTTGTGTTTCATGTAAAGGATTTGTTCATCTATGTAGTTTCACTTACTCTTTTTGGATAATTTCATTTACTATAATTTATTTGGAAAAATATTTTCGTATGTTAGGATCACTTCAAGCAAGCGAAAGTGTATCAATTTCTATGTTTAAAATGTCTTTTAAAGAATCTCCAGTGTCTCTCTTGTTTAAGTCCTGAGAGTAGCCCAGTAAAATATTCGATTTACGCTCAAGTGAAACCCCCTCGTATTGCGAAACATATCCCAGCGAAAGGGGAACCGAACGAAACCAAACCGTGAACAGTTTTTGCATTTTCTAAGCATTTCATTAAATTTTATTTCATATCTTCCTGGGCAATAATTCGCACGCCATTCCAGAGACGCGTGCACGGTGCACAGGATTGTTGGAGTGGCGTCCGAGGAGCGTCGCGCATATGTTGACAGTCGTTTATTGTCTCTCATACACACAAACGCACACAAACGAACACATGTGGGGATATACAGTTACAGTTACAGGTTACCTATAACGAGGCTCTCGCACACGCCTAAAACCAAAACTACAGACAATTGAAACAAAAGGCCCGCCACTGAAGAGGCCACCAAGAGGGGGAAAGACCCCTCTCTTGAGTGCGTGTGTGTGTGTGTGTGTGGGGGGGGGCAACAACAATGCAAAATATGCCCAACATTTGGCTTTTCTTTTAACCATTTCCATTTGGAATTCTCCTTTTGTGTTGGCTTAGTTTTTTGTCACCTTCTCTCTGTTCTGTTTCTGGTTCTGTTTCTGCCCCTGTCCTGTTTCTTCCTTGTCTTTTGTTGCACATTGTGAAATATGTCAGCAATTGTTGCAACGTTTGCGCTGCTTCTATCTGTTGTTGTTTTTGTTGCTGCTGTTGTGGCAGGCCTTTGTCACATTAGATTTTGTTGCTGCCCGGCGGCCGCTTAACTTTATTATTTTAACTTAACGGCATTTTAAGTGTTTTTTATCCCCCCTTTGCGAGAACAATGGCTCCGCTGGGCG